TAGACGTGCCGGTTTCAAATCTCTATTTTAATTTTCGCCTTTCCATTTCCAGCCCACCAGTCGGGCAAGGAAAACGAAAGAAAAACAATCTACGGTCCGGAACATGATGGCGGGTTAGAAAATTTTTCTCCATCACCAGCGGACGGAGGGGCGGCGATTTCACCCCGTCAGAATTTAAATTTAGTTCTAATAGCATTAGCAGCAGCTGCCGTATTTCTCATCATTTGCATCGTTGTAGCGGCCTCCGTGCTCGCTTGCAGACGAAGGCCCGACCCGATAGGTTTGCATGTTCGCAGAAGACGCAGGAGAAGTGATAAAAATTCCGACGGATCGGACGCCGGTTTCAACGAGGGTTTTCATCGGAGAAGCTCTCAATACAGGGTCAGCATGTACGAACAAGAAATGGAAATGGAACCGACGGATTCGCGACGAAATACGCGTAAGTTTATTCAATTTTATTCACTCATGGAGATTTTCTGATAAAATGTAAGAAAACTTAATAAGCCTTAACAATTTTGGCATGGTTGGACTTAAAAATTCTAACGTATCTTTCTCGAATTATAATCATGAAACAGATAAAACCAGCGATAAATAGTTCACTGTTTATTAATTCCTTAAAACTGTGGTACCGATTTTTTAATTTTGAGGGTGAAATCTAAATTCACACTAGTAGATATAATATTAGTTTGGCCTGCTCTAGTAATTATCTTCAATATCCGTTATCTATTTGTGTAATATAAACACATTAGGATCTGAAAACTTGGCTACTGTGCCCTCATCTCCAATTTACATTTACTAACGGTGTTAACATTCCCGCAAAGGCCAATAAAATGGTTTTAACTAGCCATTTAAATTGAAATATTGTTCCCCGAAGACATCTGCGTAATTCAAGGTAGGCTCTCCTTCATTTATAGTTTAACTGTTGCTATCTCGGCCTTATTAATGTCTAACAATGGCGTTTATTATATACACCCTACACAACACTCCTGATACATTATCCTTTAATTACTTACCAAGATGGTTGTAAAAAAGCTAAAACTAGATTCGAATTACCACCATCATGACGTACCTTAAATATTAATTTTGAATTCATTCAAGTGTTAATATTTACATTAATAATAAGACCTTTATAGAGTAATACTTCTTAGTTAGGTAAAATAAATTGGTAGAATTTCGATAAAACGCGATTTCTACAAACAATGTAATGAATGGAAAACTAAAAAACTGAAATAAAAGAAGATCACTGAAAATTAAACTTTGAGACACAATGTAGGGTAAAACAATTCCCTTTTGTAGGATCTCATTCAGTAAGCGTCACGCCATTTTTCGTCATCAGCGTTTAGTCTTCTACATGTTCTCTAGAATTCAAGCATTTGTTTTAGATCGTCCCATGCCGCCCAGGAATTGTGTTTTGCGAAACACAAGCTGGCACACGGCCGAAGTGTCATGCACTGCAAATGAAGACGGAGGATTACCACAAACATTTGTCTTGGAAGTAAGAAATTCTCCGGAGTATTCAGAGCCCACAAGTGTGACAACGCTGAGCGATCAGGGGGAGAATTCGCCCCCTTTGTTTCGAGTACTCGGTCAATCACCTGTTTTCAGTTTGCACAGCTTAGAACCGGACAAGAAATACAACATTCTCGTCTATGCTGAAAATGCGGTCGGGAAAAGCGACCCGCCAGTTTTTATACCCAATGTTCAAATTCAACAGTATTACAGTAACAACCGTACGTAATAAAGTACCTATACTTCGTTTACTTTCTGTAGCGATGTGACCTTCACTTTGACCGGCGCAAAGTAGAAAAGAACAGCACTAGGCCAGAAAAGAAAGGAGACAACTCTTATGCATTTAA